TTTGGTACCATTAAAACGTTTAAACCCGCTGCATTTGTTTGCACCTATCCTAAGTCAGGAATCTGATGTTCAGTAGTTGTCGTTTGTTGATGTGGTTCATAAGTGTTTCTCGTTTCTTGTTTTTTATATAGATTAGACCGTTGGTTTTCCCGTTTGAATGGTTTTACACTTGTAATTTTTGGGGCCCTTTATAGCTTACTGTTCGGTGTGAGCCAAGGCTCCGTGTTGAAGACTGTACTTTGACCTATAAAGGTTTACTTTTATAAATTTTGACTTGGATGGAGAGTTGTCTCATTGGCACTCATACCACATCTTCTTATATCTATAAAACATTCACAATCACCATCGCAAAAGGAGTGATATCTTTCAGTACGGTGTCCATTATCAAAAAGAATAACACTACGAAAATTGGATGTATACATGTATGATGCCTTCATTAAAAAATTTGAGGAGGACGGTCACCACAAAGGCTAAAAGATAAAAGTAGGAAAGATAATCCATTAGACACCTCACATAAATTAAAGATGGGGTTAGACGAGGCCAACTTTAAACTCGGGTTGAATTCAGGTTAAATAGGAATGCCGATTTTCGTCCACTAAACTTAATATGTATAGTTTGTCCCTTTCTTAAACAAGTTAGTTTTATTTACATTTTTCAATTTTCTTTTTATTGAACAAAATTGGACAAGTTCAGAATGAGGAATTATACTTGTGTTGGAAAGTTAAAGTTGTTTTACTATTTGACGTAGAGAGGTATCAACTTTTTTTGTATCCAACACAATCTCTGGTTTTCAGTATCCACATTTTATTCACACCATAACGTTTTCAATGACTGCATCCATTCTGGGTTTTTTATTTGTACTTCTCATGTCCTTTGAACCCTCGGACGCTTACACTCGGACTTTTTGTGTTTAAAAATGTTCTGTGTTCTTATATCTTTCTTCATAAGTGTGTTTTCTTACAACCGCGGAGCTTGCATTTTCATCATTGACTAGGTGCTTGCATTTTCATCATTGACTAGGTGAAATATTCCATCTGACAATGCTAGTATTCTGCCTCACAAGGAGTTGTAACGGTTAACAGTAATCATAAGGTTGTAGTAGACCTACTCCTCTATAATAACATCTGTAGAAGGACTTGGCTTATCTTCACGACAACAGTACATTGCCATTTACGCGTAGAAGTATAATAATTATCATTCTGCTATAAAGTGACCTATATGACTATGAATTCATAAAATGATGTCATGTCCAATTATAAGTGAAGTAAGTAAACGAAAGATAGTTCAAAAAACGATCTGGTACACGTTTTTTGCTTATTAAGTGTTTGGTAAGCAAAAAACTTGTACCAGATCGTTTTTTGAACTATCTTTCGTTTACTTACTAATTTAAAACGATTTCCACTATTTATGCTCGTTTGATTCATTTTCGTTTCTTTCTACTTTGAGGCTACGTACGTGTTTTCAATTATTAATTTTGTATTACGCTTATTCGCGGTCCACTTGTTACCAGTATTACATGTTGAATTACAAATGCAAAACAATTGCTGAGGTCATCAAAGCGGTATGTATTGTCCGACGGCTAACGAAGTTTTTATAATCTGTCCTTAGAAGATAATTCAAAGAGTGAACATTTATACTCTTGCAAGAACCAGGTTTCTAAACAATTTAATTCAGTGAATCATGAAATACAATCAAATTCGTAGCATCTATAAACAATAGCAAGAACTCGTTCAATTAAATGTTGTATGCATTATTTGTCAACTAGAACAAACAAAATAAAAAACCTGAATCTGCGCTGAATGCATATATGGGAAGTTGTTTTCATATTAATTATGTAGACAACCTGCAATCATTGCATAAATTATGCTTGAACCTACTAAAAGTTATATGAACATATTAATATAATCATAAAATCCTGCGGTATCTATATAGAAAAATGTTATACGTTACATTTGTTTATTTGTGTGTGCAATTGATAAGATCATATAACACATATGTTTGAACTTTTATAAATCAGTGTGACTAAAATACACCTCATCAAACATCTAATCGTAAAATATGGTATCTAAGATAGCTAAATTAATTTGCAGCTGTATATCCTAAAATTAAAAGGAGAGAATAAGAAATAGGTATATTATCACTGAAAGATTGTAAGCAGAAAATGTGTACAAAACATTGGTCAGATATCAGAAACTGTCGTCATTCTGAGTGAAAATTATGACATTTACAGTTACGTCTTTCTTTTAACTTTTGATTAATGAATTGATGTTTATCCCAAAAAAACAGGAAGTGATTGAACAACGTATGTTACAAATACACTTGTCTTAAATTATATCAAAGCAAAGCAAAAAGGATACGATCTACATTAATAATACAACATTTAGGACCGGCACGTAAATATGAGTAGTATTCGGAGTTTTTGTACTTCAAAATATATAACATAATTATGATATTTCAAATAAAATATATTGTAATTTAAAGATTGTATTTCAACAATAGGGAGAACACTTAATACCAGAAGCTAACTATATTCAACTGGTTTATCTCATAATGATCTGGGCGCATGGGGGGATAAAGATATGAAAAAATGAATATTTGTATATATATAAATATCTTAATGTGTATTGCAACTAAAAGAAAATGATAAAACTTAATTATTTTTGTTGACAACTTTTGGCTGTCATAGAAAATGAAGAGTTTTAGAATCTCATAATTGCATGTCAAACAAATATCTATAACAATATCTTCAGCATAGGATTTGCTCAAATCTATCAAATTCAACAGGAATCGATATATATTTTGCCGTTTGTTGTTTTTGGCTGGAATGGCTACGATGTTTAATTTCATTTGAAAAGAAAACCAGAAAGTGCTTTAAAGTTGTAATTTATGATAAGATTTTTTACAAAGATAAAATTCGTTCCCGTTTATCGCGATTTCTAGTACCGGCTTTGTCCTCATCCATTCACATTTGCTACATCTTTTATCTACATAGTTTCTCATTACATCGATTGCATTCCCCAATTTACCATACACCGATTTCCGTGGTAACATTTCTCTTTCCGCACTGCAATACCCCCTTATATTCCATTCCTTATTCCTTTGAAGACGATTTATTGCGGAGATTTCACGGCTTACAGCTGTAAGTTCGAATGAATGATATGAAATTAAGCCTAAAAGTATTATGTTTTAGATATGGTTTAGATTTCCCCTTGGTATCTGTTCCAATTTTTTGTTTTATTATATTTCCGTATTTATAGACGTGTATGTATTCTTTTTGGTCCAGCAAGGAAAAAAAGGGAAGGGAGCTCTAATTTATTCAAAAATTTTAAAAAATAGGAGTGTTCTTATATTTTATATTTTAGAATAGATTTATTGATTGATTGTTAGTTGGTTAACGTCCAGTGGCAAACATTTCATGTATGTTTAGGACGTGAATAAAATTAACAAGAAATACCATAGGTAGGTCTCGTAATTGAGGCCGTCCGGGATAAGGTCGGGGAAATTTCGACTGCCACTGGAAAATGATGGTTTATTGGATAGGGACAGAAATTTGGAGTTCCAACAGGTCACCTACGGACCCCTCGAAGAGTTGTTGCAAGGGTTCTTAACGTGCAGAGAGCGTTGCACTCTCTCTACACGTGGCATTGAATAAACGTCCCCATTCTTACCGGACGTGGCTGCGTACTTGATACATCCCGCACAGCCAAACAGACGCCCCACTTTGGGGAGGGTTTTACTGCCTGTCGGAAAAGACCAAAGTGACCATTTTTCTATTCCCCAGTCACCCTTGGGGGCTTTTAAAATAGAAATTAAAAACAATGAAAGCATAGTTAACTGTCATTTTAAAGCATCGAAAATTAGAAAAATCAAGCATGGGTTGTTTTTGTTTTTGTTTTTTTTTCGGGAATGAAAAATGAAGGAATATAAATCATTGTACGTTTTAGACATGTTAATCATATCCAAGCAGAAACTGTTGATTTGCTAAAGTTTATTTCAAAACCCAAATGAAAATGTAGTTCAGTTGGTTTTTTTGTTTTTTGTATATAATTATTTCATAATTTAAAATAAATAAATAAATGTATCAGGAAGAAACGAAATGTTCCAAATTGACGCTAAATCGGTAAACGCACCATTTTTATGGCATTTTTTTTTTTTAAAGTCGCGACGAGTAAAACGTTCATGAAAATGTCTAAAAGTCAATGGTGTAAGAAAGTCCATATGGACGAATTTCTATAAAATTAGATAATAAACATTTCTGTCGGATCAAAACTTGACATATCCGTACGGAAATATGTGTCCCCAAAATTGACTTTAAATGGTCTTTAAGCAATGAAGAGTTATCTTTTAATAAGAATAATTCTTACATCAAGCTATCTTGTACATATAAATGTGCCTCTTCACGTGTAATATTAACAGACGTGGATACCTTAACATTTATAAGACCCCTTAAAATCATGCATAGTATATCAAGCCAACATAATTAATTTTGATAAATTTAGATATTTAATGAACTGTTCGGAGACTGATGTTCTCAACAGATTTCTTTTATATATTGACAAATGTATTTTGATTAGAAATTCATCAGTGGGAATAACTGCATAATATTGAAGTGGTTGTTTTGTCTATTGTTTGTTATAAGTGTCACAATTGTTGTCTCTTTATGTTTTATTTTTGTTTTGTTTTTCTATGTTTTCATGTATTTCAGCGATGATCCTTTTGTACTGGATTTTATACTGAATAAAATTAGTTAGTTAGTTAGTTAATTAATAGCAAAAATGTATTAATAGCAATCGGATGTGCGTAGGGTAATATGAGAATTAATGACATTCAGTGAGGAAACAATTAAGTGACCGATTATGAATCTTTGGTATAGAATAGTCAAGGATTCAGAACTTGATTTTTTAAATCATTTATATCACACATAACTTACTGACCTAGATAGTTATCATAAAGTAAAAAACGTTAGTATACATCTCTAGTAACAAAGATAAAGTACTCACCTATACTGTCGGTGGGGTATTGTTGTTTATTTTTTCCTTGTCATACGTAAAAATCTTTAAACGATTAAACATCCGTGTTTAAGATATGTAATTTCACTTCCCTTATATCCAAAATGATAAAAAAGCTTTGCACTTGATCATAATGATTGTTGTTTGATATCAATTACTGTACTATAACATGGATCAGTTATGTGTAGGGTAAAAATACATCCGACGTGAACTTTCAGTGATCAACGCCATTTCAAACATCTGGATTAAAATAATAAAGTTGAATCTCAGTAGAAATGTTACATGTACATGTAATTCAATAACTCCTTCATCCAAGGTACATTACTTTTTTTTTGTATACTCAACGACAGTAAGTACAAGTAGTTATGTAGTTACCAGTCTGAGAGTAATTGATGACATTACATAAGTCGTATTACATGTATTTGTGCTCTTTATTTGTCATAATCAATTACTTGGTTATATAAAATGTATGCTAAAGTTTTATTGTGGACTCAATATCATATTCCACGACATCTTAATAGTTGGAAAATAATAGCGAAAAGTACGTTCTCTTAATTTGCAATGCAGTCGAGGTCAAACAAAGCAGAATTCCTCAATAGAATAAATCAACTAGTTTGACGAATATAATTTGTGGATAATAAGATTTGCACTTTTGTATTGGACGGGATTTCGAAATGTTGATTTAATTTATAATAAAATATTTTAAAAGGACAAAAAAAATGTTGTCTTGTCACTCTATATTTGTTTAGCCTTCCGTTTAACCTACCATAAAAGATAATCAAATATTTAAGTTCTCGTTCATTAGACCTTCATCTATCAATTACACCTTTTGGTAGATTAACACCATTCTTTGATTTCCCTTGTCACCTGAAACCTCGCTTTAGAAATGTTCTGATTGAAAACTAACAACACGGAGCATAAAAAGTTATTTATTAACACATTCATCAAAATTCTTTTGTTAAAACGTGTAAAATATTAAAAAGTTAAATAAAAAACAGATCTTATAATTGAACTTTAAAAATATGAAGGGTATTTCATCATTTTCGAAATAAAATTTTCAGATGTTTACGTTGCTAACTTGCCTTGTTATATTCGACGTTGGTAACAGAGTGGATTAAAGAGGTATTGTATTCGCCTATACTATAATATACCTGCATTCTGGAAACTCTTTAATTACTTGCTAGGTTTAAGTCTAACATCGGTTATGTTTTGTAAGGACGGTTGAGTTATGGATAAACAAAACAATTCTGAATTGTGGTACAATTTAATGACCTTGTAACCAAATCCTGCATTGAGTTTAATTTTGTAAGGATGAGAAAATGAAGCACTTAGAGCAATATGTAATTGAATAATCGGCTTTTGGTGGGGTTTGTGTTGCTCAGTCTTTAGTTTTTTATGTTGTGTTTTGTGTACTGCATGCTGTTTGTCTTTTCGTCGTTTTTTGTTTTTTGCCATGGCATTGTCAGTTTGTTTTTGACTTATGAGATTAAGTATACGTATTGTATCTTTCGCCTCTCTTTTGAAACACTCGACTGATAACGATCGATAATTTTTTAAGGTGGTCGTAAAATTTTTATAGTGATGACACCATCTTTTCGATTTTGAAAAGTCTATGTTCAAACGAGTGAAAAAAAAATCCAAATGAGCATCGAAATAATAGTGGCCATGGGAATGCCAAGTGTCTTTTGAATAGTGTCTCTCAATTTCAACGAAGACGTTGAATCGATCAATATTCTGGAGCGTTCTAACAAAACATTCCACTACGACCTCACAGTGTACGTACTGTTTGATTTATTCCTTATTTTGTTTTTTCCTTAGGAAACATAATGCATTGTCATTTTAACCTTAACCTTATTTCATGCATTGGTCACGTTCATGTCGGGGCTATATTTGGAAAAATCAATAAGACGAATACTTGAAATAATTCAAATGTTTGCAACATATATAAACGTCTAAATATGTGACAACTTTACGTCAGACGTTCTTCATCGGATAACCTGTGAATATACAGTCTGAGTGCTAACACCATATTTTAAATTACATATAATTCGTCCCAAATTTAGCCCAACAATGTTAGATCTGCAAATTTGCGTTAGCAAACTTTTTTTCTTTCCTCATCGGGATTCGAAACCCTGCATCTGATAAATCGTGGCAACACGGCCTGCAATGTGTCATTCGCCCTTTTATTTCGATCCCTGAATTCTGGGATGGTTGTCAAATATATAATGTTAATTTTGGTATTAACATGTGGTATGATTGATAATGAGACAATCGCCCTAGACCACTCGACCAACTAGGCTATATAAAATTATAGCTTTCGTTAGTCGAGTAATGCCTTTCCTCGTCGGCTTTATCTAGGGTTATAACACAGTACATGATGTATAGTGGTAAGTAGATGGTATACCTTGCAGATCAGATGTTTTTTGTCTGTCGTAAAGGATGATAATTTTACCTACCATGACGTCATATCAATATATAGAGAGATTCTATCACTGCATCGAGTGTGATACGATATTTATCCACTCGAGACAGTTGAATTTTCAAATTTAAAACGCGAGGCTCTCCGAATTTAAATTTAACTGTCGAGAGTGGATACATGTCGTATTGCACGAGATTCGGTGGTGGAATCTGTCTCTCTAATGATTTTTAGACGATATTCAGACAAACTTAATCCTTCTTTTCGAAAGATCTTCAAAAAGATGTGTTCTTTCTATGTGACGTCATCAGGCATGACGTCACAATAGGAATTTCAGAGGAAAGCAAGAAAATTTGACGCCATCATGAATCGAATTTTGACCAATGAAGAACTGAGATCAAACAAACCACACGTTGATTAGATAAAAATAATCAACAGGTCAGGAAAAGGATAAATCGGGTAAGAATTAGAGAAATATACATATATATAACGTCACAGTACCCAAATTGCACCTATTTAGCAAAAATCGCAGCGGATATCTTACAAGTTTTTTTAGAGACTAAATAATTTGTATTTTTATGATTTTACATTATGCACGTCTTTCAGCATATCTAATTATATGTAGACATGCACAAAACTTTCACAGTATATATCAACAGATGAAGTATTCATTGGAAAAAGTAAAATCTATCGAAACGTCGCCATGCGACGTCCACGAAAAGTCATCTTTTAAAATTGAGCAAATAAAATATGTTACACGCACCCATTTCCTAAAACATGAATAGTAAGCATAGATTAATGTCAAATTGTTCTAAATATTTGAAGAAATAACGCAAAACATCTGTTATACGATTTTTAAGGATTTGCATTTGGTGATGGATGCAATTTGGGTAATCCTCATTACAGAATCATGAATCGTTTGGAGGTCGGTTCAAACCCATTTTTCTATGATTCAATATGGATTCAAAATTAAATTGGTGGAACTGTATGGAACATAGTGATACATCTACAAAATAAACCCAGAATGGAAACTTTTGTCCGGATCATAAATAAACGTAGGTGAAAAAACTGTCGAAATAGGTGCAATTTGGGTACCCTCACGTTATATATACATATTTATTGTGTAAAAAATGGTTGAAAAAACATTTACTATTTACAATATTATTTTGATTCTTTATCATTGAAATCTTACAACTATGAAGAATAGATTCAGCAAGAGAATCAAAAACTGAGAAGGTTGTCATACCTCTAATCTAAGCAGGCAACGACTTCTCCAGAGAGAACACTATGTGAAGTGGCGGTTTATTCTTGTATCGTTAAGTTTCGGTTTCTATATGTGCTTGAGTGCGCTGATAGTCAGACATTTTAATTACGGCCATAGCAACTCTGTAGTTTTTTATGATATTTAAGGACCGATGATGATCTATATTTCTGTAACAAGTTTTATTGTAAACATTAAAAGTGTTTTTCTGGTTATTACATTAGTTTTATTTTGCCGTGTAAATATTTATTAACGTGACCTTCAATTACAGATTAAACATATCGATTACTCAATGCAACATTTTATTTTGCGCATAACTGTGTGATAGTCTATTTACTATTGTCTGAAGTGTGACTAATTATTTGAACAAATATTGTCGTACAAGGATTTTGCTTCACTTCATTGGGATAATTACGCCGTAATTTCAAATTGAATCAATGTGATATACATTTGTACTCATTTTATTGCTTCATTCAGTTTATTGCTTTATTTGTTAATTTTCAAATGAAATAGATTACATTTAATAACAGAAAAATAATGTATTGATTCAACTGTATTCAGAGGGGATATCAACAAAGGTAAAATAAGGACAACAATAGAAAAACAAAGGATATGGGGTATCCATCCATGACACAAAATCAGTACATGCACAGCAACAACAACAAAAAAACACACACAAAAAAGCAAATGAACAGCGCTTTTATTGCTGTTCTTCATGGGGAATATGTCAAAGAGACCACAACCCGACCAAAGAGCAGAAAACAGCCGAAGGCCACCAATGGGTCTTCAACACGGCGGAAAAATCCCGCACCCGTAGGCGGGCTTCAGCTGGCCCCTAAATAAAAATGTGTATTAGTTCAGTGAAAATGGACGTCATACTAAACTCCAAAACATATAAATGAACTAAAATTGAAAAAACATACAAGACTAACAAAGACAAGAGGCTCCTGACTTGGGACAGATGCAAAATTGCGGCGGGGTTAAAATGTTTTGTGAGATCTCAACCCTCTCCCTATACCTCTAGCCAATGTAGAATAAACAAAAACACAGCAATACGCACAGTAGAACTCAATTTAAAAGAAGTCCGAGTCCGATGTCAGAATATGTAACAAAAGAAACTAAGCAAAATGACAATGATACATTAATTAACAAAAGACTACTAGCAGTTACTGACATACCAGCTCCAGACTTCAGTTAAACTGATTGAAAGCCTTCATCATAACACAAATCAAGCGCAATCCCTCCCGTTAGGGGTTTAGTATCATACCATCATAAAATATAGAAGAACATAACCCGTATCATGCCAACAACTGGTTTTAGAACAAATGTGTTTATTTCCGATGCAAAGACCCTATGAGTAGATCAATATTAATACCAATGACCTGACAATAGTACATATTTAAAACAAATTAGTTCCTACGCATAAGGGTAAATCTTAAACTATGTAGCATTTATTTTAGTAATAAAGGTATCAGATGAAAGGTGAACGACTGGTGATCCTTGTAGAACACACAATTTATTGATAATTTTGAATAATACAAAAATGTATGAATGAATTCTAAAATTGAGGGCATATATAGCCCGTTTCTCAGATATAAAGTGCCAGTCTAAATCTGTTTAAGTGTTATCTTAGC